ATGTGCACCTAGTTTTCTAAACTGATTGTATGAGCTTAAAGCCATCAACACTAAACATTGCTTTTCAATACAGACGTACCACAGTCTTACACAGTTTTGCACAGAAAGAAACAACTACATTTCAGCCAGACAAATATTAGTGACAATCATTTAAATCTGAGCCAACAGTGTGCTGCAACTGCCAAAATAGCCAACCCAGTCCTAGGTTGCATTAATAGAGGGATAGAATCAATATCACATAAAGAGTTAATACCATTTTTTAATGTCTTGGTAAGACCACACTTGGAATACTGCATTCAACTTTGGTTGCCACAATGTAAAAAATGTGTTGAAATTCTAGAAAGAGTGCAGAGAAGAGCAACAGATATGATTAAGCAACTGAAGACTAAAACATATGAACAATGGTATGGAACTGGGTATGTCTAGTTTAATGAAAAGAAGGACTAGGGGTGATATGATAGCAATTGCCAATATCTCAGGGGTTGCCACAAAGAAGAGGGAGTCAACCTTTTCTCCAAAGCACCTGAAGAAGCGATGAATGGAAACTAATTAAGAAAGAATCAACCCTAAAACTAAGGAGAAATTTCCTGATAATTAGAACAAGTAATCAGTGGAACGGCTGTCTTCTAGAATTTGTGGGCACTCCACAACTTCTAGAAGACTCCACTACAATTTGAAATGGTAAAGGATTTCCTGTGTGATGTCCCGGTCAGAGTCTGCGGGGAAGATGAGCTGGAACAAGAGTCGACAGAGATCGAGAAGGTAGCTCCATTGGCCTTGGAGGAAACTGGGAAAGAGTCAGTCCAGGCAAGACTTTTCAGGATTAGATAGGCTTGCAAACAGGGAAGAGCAGGAGAGACAGAGCTCAGGTGAAGAGCAAGAACCACCCCGTCCTGATCCTAGAGCAGAGAGAGAAGAGAGAAGGCAAGGAACAGCTACGAGCCAGCTATGAGGGAGGAGAGTGGCCCGGCCCGCTTCACAAGGCACAACTGGGGACTGAGATGTAAGGAGGTGCCAATGGGAGGGGCATTTGTCAGGAACAAGCATTGAATCTGTGGAGCCTCATGTGCACTTGCCGACATGAGGAGATTACTGTGCTCTGTCATGTGGGGCTCACTGGTTTGCCTGCTTGGCTGAACCTCTTGCTCTGATTACTGTTTGGCTAACCTGGCTTACTGGCCTACTCACAGCCAGAGGCTACTGAAGGTGCATGTGAGAACTTTGCTCCAGGACTTGTAGTAAATATGGGGATGTTTGGGAGCAAAGTTGGAGCAATAAAGGGTAGTTAGACCTGTTCTCTGGCTGTGTTGCATTTGTGCCATGCCCAGGTCATCACAGCCTGCTTGAGAAGATGGTTGTACTAGAAGACCTCCAAGGTCCCTTCCAACTCTGTAATTCTGTTATTCTATTACTTCATTTTAACTGTAAAACAGTTGTAATGGTTGCAGTCATGGGAAAACCCAAGTTCTACTCCATCCTCAGGCACAGAAACTCATGGGGTAACTTTGGATCAGTCATACTCTTTCAACCCTCAGGATTATTATTATGAAGAACAATAGGATAAAGGAATGCTACATACTTAAGTTCTTGAGTAAAAGATGAGGCATACAATTGGGCAGTGGTGCAGGACAGTTTGGAAAATAAGCATATTAATGTGGTACTTAATATCAAACTGCAGAAACTTTGCTTAAAGTCATTGGGATGATGAAGATGATGATGATGATGATGATGATGATGATGATGATGATGATGATGATGATGATACAATTATTGAACAAGTTTTAAATCTTAAAATGCATGTTAAAGTAGTTTTTAAAAAAACGAAGCACAATCCTTTGGTCACATGATCAGTATTCCATATCTATGTCCTGTTATAACCCATTGTCCAAGATAGGAGTAAAAAAAAGTAATTGCCAGATGATTAAGCAATGAAATAAATTAAAATACTATTTTAGCAATAGCAGTTAGACTTATATATTGCATGGTGCTTTACAGCCTAAGCAGGTTACAGCATCAGTATATTGCCCCCCAAAATTTGGGTCCTTATTTTACTGACTTTGGAAGGATGGAAGGTGACTCAACCTTGAGCTGGTGAGATTCGAACTACCAAATTGCAGGCAGCAGGCACACCACAGATATAGCCTGCAGTACTGCATTCTAACCACTGCACCACCATGGCTCTTATAATAATTATAATGTCTGAGTTGTGTCATTTTCTTGATTTGATATATGGTAGCCATCTGTAGCCTTCACCTGCAATCAATTATGATCCAGATGTTTTGCATTCAAAAAAAAAAGAATAGCTATTAGAATCTAGAAATTCTTTTAGTTTGGTCCCCAAATTAGATCTGATTATATACTGTTCTGATCAAACAACCCTACTATTCTGTTACAAAACAAGTACAAAACTATTTCAAAACATTTTTCATAAATAACCATATTGTCATAATTTTAGTATTTTTAAGAAGAGAATTTTGGTAATTGTTTGTGAATAGACATCCTCTCCAAAATCATGCATTTTTTTTGACAATGGATTATTATTTCATGTTATATTTCATGCATTTTGACAGAATGGGTTATTCATCTGCAGACACATGTATTATAGTTTACTTTCTACTGGATTTCAAGTAGATTAATGTATTATAGTTTACTTTCTACTTTCAAGATGATTTCAGAAGCATATTATCATAAGGGAAAGTTTGTTACTAGCATGAGTAGAGACCGTGTGAGAGACAGACAATAGTAGTTTGTGATATATCTTTTGGGGTTTTTCCCATGAATATTAAAGACAGCTTTAAAAACTACCCATGATATATACATTGACTTTGGTAAACATTTTCAGAAGGTTTTTTTATATTGTTACAGAAATGTTGGGAGAGAATGCTAGAAGTTATTGTGGGGGTGGAATTGAGTACATGTTGGTGAAACTATTCTTTCCTGTTCTTGTTTTATTATTCCAGTTTATAAAACATAATCTGCAGGCAGATAAGGGTTGTATGCAAAGACCCTGGTGAGTTACAGCAGCTGCATACACTGCTCTAAGTTACACTGGTGTTCTCAGGGTACCCTGAATATCATACACGTACATCTCTGTACCTCTACATTAGATATTAAGACTCACATGCAGAGATGTATGGACAAAACAAACCACAGTTTCCTCAACATTTGGGATACTGTATATACTCAAGTATAAGCCTAGTTTTTCAGCCCACTTTTTGAGCTGAAAAAAGCCGCCTCGGCTTATACTCGAGTCAGTGAAAAATTTGCCCGAAATGGAGGAGAAAAAGGGGCGGGGCCATGCCGCTGGGTGACGCTCGTGANTCCTCCAGCACAGATTCTTTCATCCTCGGCGGCCGTGCAGGAGCCGAGGATGAATCGCATGAAATCCTGTGCGTGTCACCCCAAATGGCTACGCGTGTCAGCACTGACACGCGTGTCATAGGTTCCCCATCACTGATATAGGGGAAGATGCCAGGATGATTACAATGTAAAAAACCAGGGACTGGTTTTGTGGAAGACAATTTTTCCACAGACTAGGAGGAAGGAGCATGCAACCTAGATCCCTCACATGGGCAGTTTACATTAGGGTTCAATGACAATCGAATGCCTAACGATCTGAGGTAGAGCTGAGGTGGTGATACTAGTTGCTGGGGACTGGTTGCAAATATAGATATAGCTTTGTTTGCTTTTCTGCCTGCCGCTCACCTTCAGCTGTGGTGGCCCAGTTCCTAACAGGCCATAGATCGGTTCTGGTCCATGGATTACAGCACAGTTGCCAGTGGGAATGACTATTCTTTCCAGAACAAGAGGCAGGGTACATATGTTCAGTATAGTAGGGATGATTCATCTCTATTCTACAATTCACGATTCCATTATGTCATTTGGATTCCTATTATTTCTATTTTAAGAATAAAAAAGCTATACTTTGTAAACAACACATAACTCTTGTTTTCATGACCATTTCACGATTTAACTGAATATTCCAGGTTACTTTCTAGTTCGTTTTTCCACACCCCTTCCACAATCCCAGGAAAAGAAGTTACTTATGTTTACCCTACTTATTGAACAATTTAACATTTAAAGCATAGAAACATGCTTTAAAACGCAAATGTAGACTTTAAACTTGCATTTTCAAAAACCAGTCTCCTACTATTATCTTCAAAAGTAGGCCGACCAGCCTTATTTGGAGGTTTTGCTGGAAACAGGTCGCTGTTCTTTCCAAATCGAATCCACTTGACCCCAAACTTGATTTGATGAAGAATCTTTACAAGATCCCCCTTGCACAAGATTCTCCACTCCCCCACACACACACTTTCTATGGGAAAATCCACTCCTGTAGAATCGTGGGCTCTCCAAGCAGAGATGATACTGTCGCTTTAATAATGACATTGAGGTAAGGATTCATTCCAAACTTGGTGTCTGGGCTTCTCCGTAAGCAACGGGGGCCCACTGCTGTAATTTGAGAGGAGAAGAGAGAGATCCTACGGCCAAAAGCTGAACTCCCGCGTTAGCAGCACCAATCCAGATGTAGAGTGGAGGGGGAAAAAAGTAGCCCAAAGCGCTTGCAGCAGCTTCGGGCAGGTCTCACTCAAATCTGGACGCCAGCACGCCCTCTCTTCCTCCCTCCCTCCCTGTTTTTAACTTGGGAGTTTCCTAGCGCGCGTGGAGACAGGAGAAAGGAAAACGTGGTTAAGGAAAAGTTGGTGGGAAAGAAGCCAGAGGCTCCTCCTTTTAAGGTTTGTTGATTCCCCCCCCCACTCCCACAACCACCCCCTTCCCGGGCAAAAACAACCCCAAAGTTCTCGCGGGCAAATCGGGGAGCGAGAAGGGCCAAGCGAGGGCTTTCCAGCGGGTCCCAATGAAGCCCTGCAAGAAAGGCGGCCACAACCGGAGGACTTGAAACTAGGCGCGACCGGAGTTGCCTTTGCCCTCCTCCACTTCAGGACGCTTAGAGTGTCGGGGCAGCTTCCCTCTCCCCCCACCCCACCCCCCACCCCGGGATGCTGCTGGGACTCCTCTCGGTGTGGCTGCTGAGCTGTTCGATCAGCTTGTGCCACGGCTACTTCGACGGCCCGCTTTATCCGGAGATGTCCAACGGGACGTTGCATCACTATTTCGTGCCCGACGGGGACTACGAGGAGAACGACGACCCGGAGAAGTGTCAGCTGCTTTTCAGGGTGAGCGACCGCCTGCGCTGCACAGCGGGCGGGGAGGGTGAACGCTCGCATCCCGTGGCGGCGGCGGCGGCAGCAGCAGCACCCGCTTTGACGCTGCGCGAGGAATTCACCCTCCTGGGCCGGCAGGTGGAGGACACGGCGCGCGTGCTGGAAGGCATCCAGAAGAGCATCGCCTACGACCTGGACGGCGAGGAAAGCTACGGCAACTACCTGCGCAGGGAATCCGCGCAGATCGGGGACGCCTACGCCAGCTCGGAGAAGTCGCTGGGGGAGCTGGAAAACAAGTTCCGGCAGGGCCAGGAGCACGAGAGCCACGAGGAGAGCCGCCTCAACGACGACTTCCTGGGAATGCTGGTGCATGCGCGGGCCCTCCTCAAGGAGACGCTGACCGTCTCGGCCGGCCTGCGGGACAAGTACGAGCTGCTGGCGCTCACCATCCGGAGCCACGGAGCCCGCCTCAGCCGCCTCAAGACAGAGTATCTCAAGGGCTGAGCGGGAACGGGCGCCTCAAATGGCTTCGAGCGACTTCCCTCTCCCAGTGGCCGGCCACGCCGGCGGGACTCTTGCCGGCCACGCTTCCCCACGGACTTTCCTCCATCGCATGCCACCGACCGACCCTTGCTACAGTACCTCAGTGCATATTGTTTGCAATTTTCCCCCGAGCACCTTGAAAGAGCAAAATAAATTCCAGGAAAACTGCCTTTAGGTGGCGCGACAGACGAAACATCGACAGTTAATGGTTTCCCATTGGGGAGGGGAAAAAACTGATGGGGGGGCTATTTTTGCTAGGTACCCAAAAAATTCCAGATGTCATCCGCCTATTTTTAAGTTCGTTTCTTAGGTTTCTGACAGATGGAAATTTGAGTTATTGGGGAGGAGGGTGTCTATGTCAGTAAAAAAAAAAGCGTTTGTGGGATTCCAACTGGCAAAACGTTGAAAGACGCACACAAGCTTGCTTTATTGCATTCATCCGCTTTCTTTAGCATAAGGTATCTGAAATAGGGTGAACAAATAAAGTGGCACAATATATGTACTAACTCATTGGGATGGCTTCTTCTCCTGTAGTTAATTTGCAAGTTTTGACTCAATTACTTGGAAGTAAGCTCTACTGAGTAAAAAAAAAAAAGAGTCTGGATTTGGAGTCAATATAAGTTGCTGTGATTAAAAGCTTTGAAGATAATTCCTTTTAATTCCTTTTTAGTGAGTTCAAAGAAGTATATACAATGGTATAGTCAAACATCTCAGTTCTGGAGGATTAGAAGTATCTGCTATGTTGCAATAGTTTTATAATCTATTGGTCAGAATTCAGCATTGTTATATACACTTAAGCCCTACTGATTTATTGTTTTATGGAATGTGTTGTATAAAACCTTGAGGAGAAATGTTATAGACATGACATGTTAAGTTACAAGTTTGGAACTTTGTTCTCTAGTTCTTTCAGATGAAATCTTTTGAACTTCCATGGTGATCCAGTACTACTAAAAATCAATAATTGATAGAACATCTGGTGCCAAGGTTTCCATAGATTTTATTTTGCTTCTTTTTTAAAAAAAAATAAACCTATAAGGTTGCACTGCTTGTCTCATTCCACACTGACAATTGAAGAACTCAGTTAAAGTAATGTATTAATCCTTTTACAGATTCATTATAACTACCCTGGAAATTTGTAATGTTATCAATGGCTTGTGGAAAATTCTGGAATGATAGTTATTTCATTTTAATTCATCAGGAAAAGAAAAAAATAATGCTTTATGTTGGATGTTAAAGTAATTTCCCCCATCATTTTATTCAGTGTTATGAAATTCAAAAGGCCATTCGAACAAGAATATGATAGCTATAAACATGCACTCAACACCAGGTAACAGTTATTTTCTCTCTCAGTTTTATTTTTATTTTCCCTGAATCATGATCACACAAAGAAATATCTTTATCATTATTTTTTTTTAGATGTCATTCATAGAATGGAAAGTACAGTTCTCTAGTACTACAGTAAAAGTTGTAAATCACATGCATTTTGTTCACAATCTGTGCAGAGTACATAACTGGCTGTGTTCTGAACTTTACAAAAATAGGCATCAGAAGATAATATTCTGGTATCAGAAGACTAATTGCTTCAGCTATAGTTTGATGTAATGTGTATTCTAAAATAAGCAAGTTTTTTTTTTAAGGGCAAATCAACCCCTATGGTTTCCCAGGAAAACTCAGCCAAATTGGAAGCAATAACTCACTGTGCCTCTCCCTGTTCTGCACAAATGGCTTTAAATTCCTTAAAGAGATTTTGCAGAGCTAAAGCTACTGTTGAATGTTGCTTGGCTCCTTCTAAGATAACAATTTCCTTCCCAAAGAATTCTTTTGGATTGCCAACAATTAGGCAGATATTGGAACAATTTATCAATCCAAGAATGCCTACATTGTAATGTTCCATAACTGATGTCCATTGAATTCTATAGAAAAATTTTTATGCTAAGTTGATAATATAGGCATAGCCTTTAGAAACAACCAAAAAGATTGAATTGATTTTTGCTATTGGTACTCCACTGACAGGTTATATGGTTTTGTGCTTCTGGAAGGCTGCAACAAACCAAGTAATTCTTTCAAAAGAATGATGGCAACCCAAAGCAAGGTGATAAAAATGGGTTTGAGGCTTTTGGGTTTTTTTTGCATAGAAAACTCATATTTAAGTCAAACTAAGATTAATTTAAATTTGTCCCACTTTTCAGAAGAAAATAGAGGCTTCTAAAATCATGAAAAGAAGAGGGAGTAGAGGGATAGTCAGCGACGTTTCAGAGAAACTGAACAGCAGCTTTGCATTATAACTTAAGACCAAATGACAGTAGCCAGTTTTCATTACTGTAAAATATCCTTTCCTCTTTTGGCCCATATATATTATCACCAATACTGCTTCAACCAAGCACTGACCCCCCAAGCATTGATTGTGATAGGATGTTGCCACATGTTAAAATAAATGATACTCTGCAATTGTAAGATATATGACACATTCCTTAGTCAGATAGGATATTTAGAAATAGGTATTAGAACCTCAGGATATAGTTGTGACCAAAAGATACTCAGCAAAATTAAAAGATACTAATTTTCCTGCCATTATCCTCAAAGCAGCAAGAATAGATTTGCATGGTGCCGAATTCTTATTTTTTTCATTAAAAAGTGAAATGATATTGTGATATGTAGCATAAGACCACAAAGGGTCTGATTTTTCCCCTTTTGACGACTAGATATACAGTGTCTACAAGAGCAAAATTTCCAAAAGCAACCAACAACAAGATTACAATGGCTTCTACACAATGTTTTCTTTAAACATACATTATTTAATAATGTAATTCCATCAGTGAAAACCTAATCAGCTTTATAAATCCATGAAATCAGGCTCATCATCATTGCATATCCCATCTATATTGCTGTATGTGAAAATGCTGTCATTTCTGACAGTTCATGTCTTCACTTTTCCTTAAAATGTATGCATCATTTTTGCAACAAAGCATAATCCATAATAAAAAATGTCAGTTATCAGCTTCATTCCCTTCAAATAATATAAGGGGACATTTTTTAAGATAGTACAATTCAACAAAAAATCCCCATCATGAAACCCCATTGACCTTAAAACTAATCACCCCTTGAATCTTTGTTTGGCATTAGCGAGGCTTTAGTTTTGATGGAATTAAGTTTAGAATTATTTACTTCACCTAGATTTTTTTAACTATCACAGCAAGGCAGGATATTTTATTATTGAGATAACTTACTAAAGATTGCCATCTAGTGCTTTAGAAAGTCTGATATATGCTTACTTTGGAAGAATCCACCAATAGAATCAGCTTCTCAAAATGTGATTTATTAGCTGTGTGTTATAGTTTTTAACCCAAAAGTGCTTTTTCAAAAGACAAATGGACTTTGTTTTTCCTTGAAACTGCCTTTTGCAAAAGCACCTTTGGGACCTCCATGATCTGAATGACTGAGAATATCTACAGACATTTATGATTTTTAAGTTTATAACTTTAACACAAGAAATATATATGAAGCTAAAAACTAAAGCATTCTAAATTTTAACATCCCTTTTTTATAGTCCACAGTTTATCTCCAATGGCAGATGATGTACTTTTTTTTACTGTCTCTAAAACAAATGCTTGAATATTAAGAATGAGCCAAAAAAAATTGGATTCATATCTTGGAATTCTTTCCCTCTCTTAGCCAAACTGTTTTCATTCTTATTTTCTTTCATTTCATTTTATTACTCTCCCAGTTACAATCTTTGAACAGAATTGTAGCTCCAGTTGCTTCAGCCAACATGCTGAAATGGGCATGGGTTGTAGTCTATACCCAGGCTTAGGTTTTTTGAGTATATAATGATAAATGTATGGTTTGTAAGTACTCTGGGTTGGTCTGTCAAACATTTAAAGCAATGTTTCCTTTTTGAAAATAAAAATTGTAAATAATACCTTTATTACATTATAAATCTTTATTTTAGAGGTCTCAAAAGAGCCAGACTCCTATAATTTTAATAATATAAATAACTTACATGTTAGTTGGTTGCCTATTACCATTCTATATTAAACTGAAAGGATTCCCGTCCCCTTTTGTATCATTATTCTCTCCCTTTCTTTGCATTATCACTTTTTTATTATTCACAGTATGAATCCATATTTATGAGAAGCAGCTGCTTTTCCCCCTCAAGATTCTAAACATTCTGATTTCTAAACATACTGTATTTCCTTGAAAGATTAGTTGCTACTATGGAAATGTGTTTGGCTCCTAAAGCTAGTTGTAGTTCTTTTAACATACATCATCAATAATTTTGTCCTTTCCATGCTTTTTGCTAGCTTTCTTGAAATCATCTTCCTGGACAACAGCAAAACTGCATGGAGAGTTTTTAAAAACCATTGTTCTAAATTGAATATTAATTCAATTAATACAATTCAATAACTAATGTTAGCTATCAACATGGGGAAAAGGCAATTTTTCATTTATTCAGTTTTAATATATTTAAGAAATACTTTAAAACATGTTCCTGCAACTCAGAGAGATGTTAATATTTATTTATCATAGGCTTTGGACAGATTTTTCTTTTAGAATACCAAGGATTTTTTGTAGATTTTGTGCAGTTTGTTAAAACTTGGTTTATTAAATCCAGTTTACAATGTACAAGGATAAAAGTGATACAAAACAGATTAAGGCAGCTACAGATTTAACTGCTTTGTAAAAGAGGAACTTTCAGTTCAATTCCCTTTTCAACTTACTAAAGGAGTACTGTAGTGAGTGATTTCTTGCAGGATTCTTAAACTAAATGTGTCTCTAAAGATACTACAAGAACTCAAATCTTCCCTAAATTCTCATTCTCTCTGGAAATTCATTCTTCCAATGAATATTGTGCTTAAGCATTGGACTACATGAAAAAGATCCTCTTATATTATCTATAAATCCTTGGAATATTAGAACAGTAAGCATACTGTCTGGTCTGCAGAAATTCAGAGGACAATTAGCAGTAAAGGTTGACATTTTCTGCTGCCATCTAGTGGTTGTCCAGATGTTTGTAATCTAAGATGTTTGTAGTCTTAATACAGTGTTGTGTAATTTTAATGACCTACAGTTCCATCTGCTTGGAAAAATCAAAGGCAATCAAAAAACAAATCAACAGGAGATCAGATATTATTGCCACTAACTCAAACCTAAAACAACCGTCTCCAAATTTCATAGATATCATTCAGTCTGGTTTGGCAATTCCTCTTGGCTTGGAATGGCAATGACAGAATTTTTTTGTGTAGCCACTTCATAGATCTTCCAGGGATTATATAAATGATACCTTTTCTTTGAATTTTCAATAATACCGGACATGGGCTTTGATTGGAGCAATATTGGAACTTTTTTTGGAATCATATTGTTATGCTTTTGTTGAATAACTTGACTAAATTTGTTCTTAAGTATGTACATGGAGAGGTTAGCAGAAAAAAAAATCTAAATGTTTTCCAAAGGGGTGGAGCTCCAATCAGAACTTAATGAAAAAAAGAGATTGAATACTGAGTCTTGTCCCGAAGGTTGACCCAATTAGTATACATGAAATTGATTGTGGAAGCAAAACACTAATATCATAATCTTGCTAATTTATTTGGATATTATGTTATGTTAAAGAATGTTTCCTTACAAGTTTTAAATTTTTAATAAGTCATTATTGTTTCTCTGCTTATTTAGCATGTAAATGGACATGATTAAACAAGTAATATAGAGCTATGAGGATCAAAAAGAATCCCATTTTTACCATTTACACACTTGAGAAATTGTAAATGTAAAAGAACAGCACTCTCCTAATTTGTTTTCATGATTGATTCTGAATTATCCTGCTTATCAGTATTTCTGTAACTTTTTCTATACAGGATGCCATAAGTACATTTTCTTTACTGTTCTACATATTATTATTATTAAGTTAATAAAGTATGTTTATGCTTTGGAATGTTTCTTTTGAACACTGCATTACTATATATTTTTTAAAATGAGCCTTTTCAAGGATGCCTAACTATACATAATTATTTGTATATACACACATAAAAAAAGAAACATCACAATAATGAAAACTCTTTAATTTTATAACACAGACACAGACTCATAGTTTCAGTGGGGAACCTGTAAGTATCCTAGACCAAGCTAAATCCAAAACATGCTAGGAAATTTCAGAAACTTGGCATTCAGATAATTCAGTCATGAATAAAAACATGGATAAACCACATTACATACCATTCATGAGACAATAAAAAGCTAAGAAGGAAATGAAAAAAAAACAACACATCCTCTTCAGAAGCCAAACACCCAAATAAGCAGGGATTAACACCAGACAAATAATCATGCAGAAGACAATTCCTTAATCATGGAACTATAGGTAGTGCACAATTTACGACCATTTGATTAGTACCATTCAAAGTTATGATGGTGCTGAAAAGTGATGAATGGCTCTTACACTTACAATAGTCACAGTGCCCCTGCGATCCTGTTTGCAATTCAGGCGCTTGGCAACCAGCATGTATTTACCACAATTGCAGCATATTGGGAGAGGTTACATAATTAACTTTTGCAACCTTCCCAATCAGCTTCTAATAAGCAAAGTCAATAGGGAAATTGGATTTGCTTGATGATGGCGTAGTTTAGTTAATTACTAAAAGTAGACATAAAGTAGGTCATGACTCGCTTAATAATAGCATTGCTTAATATCAGAAGTTTTGGTCTCAATTGTGGTCATAAGGCAAGGACTATCTGCAATAGTAATTCACTGTGACTGTGAATATAGCTGAGATTTCTAGATACAACAGCACTTTTAAAAAAATAGTGTAAAATATTTCACTGTGAATGAGAACTAGATGCTAAGAAATAGTTATAACTGGATGTCTTTCAAGAATCAGTGATACTAGAATATAAGAAGATATTATAGTAGATAATCCTCTATATTATGAACATACAAAGGAATTGCAAGAAGAAAATATGTCATCTTAACCTTTGGGAAGGGCAGTAGAAAAAAACATAGTAAATTATTTCAGGAACACACACAACTGAAGATGTCTTGGATTATTGCCCAAGATAAAATGCGGGATAAAATAATAATAACTTGATATACTTCAGTTTGATTAATGATGGTCAATCTCAGGACTTGATGGAATCAGTAAATTAGCTTAATATTAAATGTTTCAGTAAAATTACATTGTAACTGCAACAAAAATGTGTAACACACTATAAGGAAATGAATTCCAGATTTGAATTACGTATTACTCTAGATATTTTTAGTTAAAATACTCATTTTATAAGCATTTGGAAAATAGAAGGGCAATCATAATGAGTCATACGTCTGCTGAACAATTATGTAATCTAAAAGGGAGCAGACTTAATTTCAGTTGGATAACATTCTTTTTCATTTGGATCTCAAATACCCTTTATATTTTTCACCTGATGTACCAGTCAAGCAAACATTTCAGACTATATTGCTTACACAGCTTGTTTGCAAAAAAAGCTGCAGAAATATTTTTAACTCTCAGTATACACCATCTTTCCTTTTACTGCATTTTGTAAAATTATGCAAAATAGCAAAAAAGGGGGAAAGAAACCATAAGTAAAAGAATGCAATAAGAAAAGGGAAATATGCCTAAACCAACATCATTTGCTACATCTGTCCATCAGTTTCTATTTTTGCAAATGAATCTTGATTCCACTACATTCAAACAATGCTTTATACATTGCCTTTGTTCTTTACGTTTATTGCTTCTCTGTTTGTTTCTTATCCAACCAAATTTTCTTCTCCTCTTTTAGAACCATACACACTTCTAGGTATTTGTTTTGTGATTTATGTTTTGACATGACAAGTGTCAGATTTACACTGCTTATTATATCATAAAATCACCAAAGTATCACTGCAAATCCTTCAGATTCTAACCAACAATACAAAATCTCACAAAAGTATGTGGGAAGTTATCATCCAGTCCTCTCCCAGAAAAATGAAATATCCTAGGAAATATTGAAAAGGCAGAATATTTCTCTGGATGTGAAAAGAAGCATGTTTTAAAAGACAGAATAGTTGCCTGTAGCTTCTTGCCCACCCCCACTTTGTCAATAGGCCCATTAAAACTAGCCAGGCTAGCCCACTTTATATAATAAAGATTTCAGCAGCAGCTACAGAAAGGCATGATTGGCCTTTTACTCAGGTCTCCACATGGCATCTGAGAACTCATCTATGGATTCAAAACAGCCTAGAGAGTAGCCCCCTGCATGGCACCATGGGAGTCTGACAACCAATCAGAATACATTTCTTACACAGGAACAGGAAACAGAGAGGTGGGACTAAACAGGGTATAAAAAGCCTAGCAAGCCCCTTCCTCAGCCCTTCTCTTCTTCTCCACCTACATTGAAGCATGTGATCACCTTTTCTGGTCAGGGCTCAAGCCATGTGGCCCTGTCCAACAATAAACCATCTTTCCAAGCAGCCTCGATGTCTCCAGTGTCTTCTTCCCCACTTGGAGCTGAACCCAGAAGGACATTTCTTTCAACAAGTACTTACACATCCACATTCCCAACCAGCACACTACTAATGTCATTTTTCAAATTAAAATTGTATCAATAAGTACATTAAATTATCAAGGGAATATTTTACATCTCTATCTTAATCCCTGTTCAATATTTAACCGTTGTTACTCATTCTATTTATTCTCATGTATATTTTATTTTAATATCATATATTACTCTTATTACATTCAGCCGTTCAGCTACTCTTACTGCATTCAATTCCATATTTGCACAAAATATTCAATAATTAAAACATGATGAAATCCATTTTATCCTAAAGGTAAAGGTTCCCCTTGCACATATGTGCTAGTCATTCACAAGTCTAGGGGGCGGTGCTTATCTCTGTTTCAAAGCCGAAGAGCCCTGTCCGAAGACATCTCCGTGGTCGTGTGGCCAGCATGGCTAAACATCGAAGGCATTTTTACATGCTTTCAAACTGCTAGGTTGGCAGAAGCTGGGACAAGTAACAGGAGCTCACTCCATTATGTGGCGCTAGGGATTAGAACCCCCTAACTTCCGACCTTCTGATCAACAAGCTCAGTGTCTTAGCCACTACATCACTATGCCATTTTATCCTACACTTTCTCTAACTCAACAAACATGCAATAAACCTCCTTTCTCACATTCATTTATTTCTCAGTGACCTAATAAAAAGCAGAATTCAGTCTGCACACACCCTGCCAGACATAAAATGAACCTATACTTCCCAACTTTTGTAATCACCTTTCAATCAATATTCTACTGATTACAGGCATGCTTCACAAATAACACTAACAATAACATTATTTCTTCTATCATGTGGCATAGATACAGTATCTCACACACAGATCCTGCATAACAAAACACATCCTTATTTTAACATGTCTAGTTACATCATACTGTACTCTTCTAGAGATTCAAGATCAGAATCTGTAATATGTATCCATACTTGTACATTCTCTTTCTTGGAGTGATTCTGCAATTATTTTAACTTCTTTTATTCTTTCCACTTCTTCAATGGCCATTCCTCTCATAATCCATTTTTTCTATTATAAAATAATGCTTTTATAAACTTTTATTGCATTAATATCCTTCACTAATTCTTTCCATTTTTCACCATAAACCATCAACACAATCAGGCATTTAGAACTGTACAGGTAGTCCAGAGTTTAAGAACAAGTTTCATTCTCCAATCTATCTTTAAGCCAAATTTGTATGTAAGCCAGAACAATATTATTGTATAATACTGAATAAGTAGTGTTGTGTGATGAATTTTAATCATTGTGTATTTAACTTGAATCATTGTGTATTTAACTTGAATTTTGCTACAATAGCCTCTATTCTTACTTATGAATTGTGCTTAAACTGGGGCATTATTAACACGGGGACTTCTTGTGTTCATTTTGCTATCTTGTATGAACAATAGACATACTTAAGCCACATATTTGAAACAAACAGATCTTTTTCTAGTTAGATACTGTATTCAACAGTCACCCTTCTAATTCATTCTTGGGCTTCTAAAAGGCCCAATCACTTTTTTTCTTTATTTACCTCATTCTCACCATTTTCCCTTTCATGCCGCTTAACAGAATTCTTCTTCCTCTACCACAATCCTTCAGAATATTATACAATTCCAGTCAAAAATAGTCTGCTTGTTCCATTTTTACAATTCTTTGGAACAAATGTAGAACTAATAATAATTTAAGTATTGCTATTGTCATTTGCACCCACAATAAACTAGATAACACAAATCACATTTTCTAAACTGTGAAGCAATTGGTGCCAAAGGCTAAAGAAAAAAATCTGCTAATATTGCCTTTCTTTCTCTTTCTGTTCAGCAGAAATATTACAAACAGAACTATACTTGGAAATGAAATGGAGTCATGACATCAGCTTTCTGAATCCAGTCTCAAGATTTTACTTAGAGAGATCATTGCCTGCTTTAATGATGTCAAAATAAAGCACACTTTAAGTATAGAGTTCAGTAATCTTTGAACATCTGATCTTCAAAAATGGGCAATCTGGACATTTGAATTAATTTTCATAGCACTCAAGGAAACTAATATGGTTCACCAAGAATAGATTGTTGAAATCATAAACTATGGACTGATTATAAAACCACAACTGATAATTACAGTTCAGATTTTAGAATGTATATCCATGGTGACTAAGAACTGACAACAACTTGATGTCACATAATCAATCATTTTCAATACTTGGAAAAACTTGACAGTTTTGTTCAGCCCGGTGCTTTCCAAGAGCTGCTTCTAGTAGTAGCTGAGGATGATGAAAATTAAGAGAATTAAAATTCATTCCATTTTTCAAGACACTAGTCTGGGGAAGACCTGATTCAGAACTCACCAACTGATAGATATATTAAATGTGTGGTAAAAAATTTCAACTATATTTATTTTTAAGTAAAAAGCAGCC